TGTGCTATTTGGAGAGTGGAGTGGGGATGGTGGATACGGCGGACATCTAATTTGCGGAATTAGTGCCATTTTGGGGTGTGGCGGTTTTAACGCCACTGGACCAGCAAAAAAGGTCGGAAGGGTGAAATACTTGGAAAATGTCGACCCACAGTGAGATTACAGTTTGTTGGCTGTTGTATCTAACGTACCTGCCTGTTAATGTTATTTACATGTTGAGGTAGTTTGCGAGGATTTTGGTTGTGACAATTTTTCTCCGTTACGTGAATTTCACTAGCAAGTGGCTCACATGTTATAGAGCGCACAGGTTGCATATTTAAATGCTGTATGCTTGGTGATATGCCGATTATCTGCAGGTTTCTAGTGGTGGCAGCGTTTGGTGGAACGTTTGAAATAGCGCTGCTGTTATTGTGCTTAGGAGCACCCGTATAGATGACACGTGAGGTTTTGCTACCCGTGTTCTTTACAAGAAGGCTGTTCCGCAGTGTTTTATCTACGAAAGCTGCACAGCTTTTTGGAGAGCTTTTTGTTTTCGTACCAGAGCGTCTATGCACCTAGTTGGTGAACGACAAAGGGTGAGTAGAAATAGTCGTTTGCGCAATGGAACCTTCTTGTATGTTCTGGGACGGGTTGCGCAGTAATTCTGGGCTAACGTGGCACTGAGAGGAGTCAGAAGCGATATTTTTACGACAGTTGCTATTTGATTTCAGCGTTAGAGTTGATTCATTTATGGTCAAAGTGTCATCTAGGTCGACCAGTTGGGGAAGTTCCCGAGTTTCTGTCGGTAGGGGAACAAATGGGTCACAAGCCGTTTGTCGGAAATAAGCATATTTTCACTCCATTTATAGTGCTGTTAAATCTGGTTTCAGTACCATCGATATGTAATCATTCCTCAGGGATACTACGTTTCCAGATCGCACGCCTCTACAAAAATCCCTTAGTGATATTTCGTCACAAGCACTAGCTCAAACGGCTATTTGGGTTAAGTGTTCTCAGAGCAAAGCTCAAATAGATGAGTTATCTAATGTGGCAACTGGGCACTTGGAGGTGGATCTCGACAGTTCACCTCATATGATAAGGACCTCGGTCACCACTGTTCTTGACGATAATGCAATGTCACCTAAGCAAACTCTTACTAACTACTACCTCCGCAATCTTGACGCCTGTGAACCAACTGAATTGAATTCACCGCTCATAAATGATGGAGTAACTTCTAGACATTGGGAAGAGCTGACTACCAAGGGCCCTGTAGCTGTGTCGCAAGCTGAACTCAACGCCAAAATGACCCCCATGGGCAGAATCCAATAATGTAGAATTCCCACAGCCACTCACCGGATTCAACAAAAGATTTAAGCGTGCGATGAACACAGTAAAAACTAACAAGATCCACCAACATACATCACACAAACAGTGTATAAAGCGACATCCTGAGCAGACAAAAACCAGGAAAATATGACCTTTGGATACCCCTTGTCATAATTCCCATACCACAAAACAAGCTCAGTAATGAGAGAATAAACTATGTCACGAAGCCAAGGCCGCCCCCCATTCCATCTCATATGTGTGCAGCCGTTCCCAACACCCCCCACAGTATGACCCTATTTTAGTACAGGAGGGAGTGGAGCCGCGGCCATTCTCACTGCTTACATACCCGGCAGAAGCCAAGTACCTGTTCCTACTGTTCCTGCAGTTTTCGCAGATGACTCGGCTAGCCAACTGCCACGTCAATGGCAAATTAGACTTGCCCCCTCAACCACCTCCATGTCCACAGCAATATCGGCAGTCACAAATAATATGAATCAATATCAGAAATCATTTCAGGGCAAAGAATTCTTTTCGGTAAATCTCATCAGACCCAAACTTTTACATAATAGTGATTGTGGAGATAGCGTCAACTGGGGCTGGGATTGACTTCTTGACTGTTTGAATGACCAAAATCGATAGCTTGAGACAGAGATAGAGATGGTAGACCAAGTAAACTAAATAAAGATGTGTACACAAGGCTCATTAGTACAAGGGAATTAAGTAGGTAAGACGACAGCCAAATAACTAAGTAACGGTGTCCGTTGGCCAAGGTAGTAATATCAGCCGTATAAATCGTTTTTGGACACATACTTCCGGCTTTAGATGGTGAATGTACATAGCCTCGGCGATGGATAAGAGCTGTTTGCGGAATCCTTGGGAGAAGTGTTCAGGTAATGAGTAAATGACTTTGAAGTCATTCTCTGAAGCTGTATGGCCACATTCAAGGAGGTGCGACATGATAGAGCTGTCTGAAGACCTCATTTCGCCTCTGTAAAACCATGCCGGGATGTGTTCACGAACCCTCTGAGATAGGCGTCTCGTCGTGCGACCCACGTATCGTGCACCACAGGAGCACGAGTACTGATAACTGATCATTGAACGGGTCAACGGCGGTAGTCTATCCTTCAAGGGTTTTGTAAGCAACGGCTTATTGTGAAAAACGATTCTCAGGCGGGCCGCGAAATAAGTTTTCTCGACAGCATCTTTCAGGCGTCTGGATAACATATCAGCTGCAGAATCGCCCTTAAAGGGTATATGTATGAAAAGCTCTTTCTTAGGAGCAATGCTCCTAGGTGGCTTTCGATTACGTTCCTTCGAATGTTTCATGATAAATTTATCCGGATAGCCATTTTCCCTGAGGGCGTCGCTGATTCTCTGTAGTTCTTCATTGACGGTATCCGGTGTACAAATACTGCGCGCCCTGAAGGCGAGAGATCTGATTAAACTCCGCTTGTGTTGTAGTGGTACTGCGCTGTGGAAGTTAGTGTACTGCCCAGTCCATGTGTGCTTTCTGTGTACCTTTCTGCTGCATGATCCGTCTGAGTTACGGATAACTTCTACATCCAAGAAAGGTAACCGGTTTCCGAGTTCGTGTTCACAAGTGAAATGGAGATTCTTGTGTGCGTCATTGAAAGCTTTCAGCAACTGTTCCGCATGCTTTTCGGATTTGCAAAGTACGAAGGTGTCATCCACATACCGTACGTACATTTCGATTTCACGGATGTGCGTTGCAAGTGGGTCATGTTCCAATTTCGCCATGAATATATCAGCCAGCAGCGGCCCCAAAGGAGATCCAATGGCCACTCCGTCAATCTGACGGTACATTTCACCATTGAAAGTGAACTGAACATTTAACGTGCAACGAACTAACACCTCCTTTAGCAAAGTCTCCGGAAAAGTTGTGTATATGGGCAGTTTCCGAGCAAGCTCGCATACGTAATCCACGGTTTCGAGCAATGGAATGTTTGTGAACAACGACTGGGCATCGAATGATATCATCCTTTTGTTAACAAGGTTGCTTTCAGATATCCTCTCAATGAATTCGAACGTGTCTCTCACGCAGTAAGTACAAACCAAATTCCGTAACGGCTGCAGCTTCGCCACCATCCATTGGGCAAACAAATGCTGAGGAGAACCCACCATGTCCAACATTGGGCGCATTGGGGCGCCTTCCTTGTGAACTTTAGGTAGGCCACATAATCTCGGTAGGTGTCCACCTGAAGGCTTCAGCTTTTCGAATTCCTTCTTCGTGATGAGTTTGGCTTGCATCATTCGCCTGAGGCAGCCGGTTAGCTGTTTCTCTAACTCTCCTGTGTTGTCTTTTCCTGTCATGAGCCTCTGAAACTTACTCTCATCACTGAGGATGTGTTGCATTTTCTGGACATAATCCACCCTATCCATTAGCACTATGCCGGAGCCCTTGTCTGACTTAGAGATTATTAATTCGTTGTTTAACCGTAGCTCTTTAAGTGACTGGATTTGTTCCCTAGTGATAATACTATTACTAGATGGTTTGGTCTTAACGTATTCGTGGCAACTATGAACTAGGCTAGATTTTAGATTCTCAACATCACTTGACGAGGTTGGAAGCAGGTCTTTAGTCTGAGCAATTAGGCTTTCAAACTGCACCTCTAAAGCCGCCTGATCTATTTTCTTACATGGTATGCAAAACTTTGGACCTAATGACAACACGTTCAGCTGCGTCTGGGTTAGTATCACACTTGAAAGGTTAAACACATATCGCTGCGGGTTATTCGGAAATGTCAACTGGGGAACATGGCTATTAAGCGTACTAACTAACTTCTTTTGTTTTCTTACTCCCATTTTCTGTTTAACCAGTTCTACATAATCCTCAAAAGGCTGTCTCAAGTCTTCAGGCAGGCATAACACAGCTGTTAATCTTTGCGAAATGAATCTCTCCAGCTCCGACATCTTAGCGCGGATGGTATCCACATAATTGAGTGCATGTCTCTTCAAGGTTTTTGCGTTTGGGTAGAGGCCACACCGCCGTATTTCCTTCCAAAAGTGCTTTGGATAGCGGTTTGCCTGTACGCATTCATTGAGGAATTCCAATTCGACCCTGGATTCTTCCAGCCGAGTATTGAACTTCAGATACTCATTTAAGAGTTTCAATGAATCACGGGCAATGCTGATCTTCAGCAAAGCAAAGATTCCCATTTCATTAATATGAATCAATATCAGAAATGATTTCTGATATTGATTCATATTAATGAAATGGGAATCTTTGCTTTGCTGAAGATCAGCATTGCCCGTGATTCATTGAGTCACAAATAACATATTACCCAATTTATTACGCCTGTTAAGAGTTGACCCGACCCCAGTACTCGCACTCACATCTCCTGCGTCCATAATACCTGAGTAAAACAACGCGCATAACAATGAACCGCAACACGATGACCCCACACCCAACAGTCCGTTTGCTATACTTCTAGTTGATGCCAGATCTATTAACAAGAAATTGTACTTCCTAGGCATGCTTGCGCATATCAACGACCCACAAGCAATCCTCGTTACTGAAACGTGGTGCTCCCCCGATATCTTATACTCCAACTTAATGATTCCTAATTATCAGCTCTTCCGAAAATATCGCGGTACAGACAAAGGAGGTGGATGCTATATCTGTCATAAATTTCAACTCACAGAATCTCGTATCTGACTTTACAAAACATATGTGTTACCTGGCATGGAATACTGCTCACTACTACAGTCGAATCTGCGGAAATCTGACCAGCATGCTCTTGAGAGGGTACAGCGACGCTTTACAAAGAAGCTGTGCGGATATTCCTCCAAGATGACCTACAGAGAGCACAGTGAAAAACTTGGACTTGACCCACTTTGGCTACGGATAATGAAGATGAACTTGTGTTTCCTGTACAGAATAATTCACCATCACATGCACAGTGTCCATATGTCCGTTAACACTAGATACGAGCTACGAAATAAGGAGACAACGGTCATGATTCCAAAGTTCAATACGCGAATTAGGGAGCGTTTCTTCTTAATACACTGCTCAAAGCTTTGGAACAAACTTCCAAGAGCTATCAGAACTTGTTGCACATTGCGTTTGTTTAAGCTTTCCATAAAAGATCATTTAACCGTTCAAAATGTGATAATAATGTTTCGAACAGCACAGTCCTTAGATAACGCTTTTGAGAACGGAGTTAATGGTGCCTGAAAATGCATGTGGTCAAGTGCACAAGTGGTTATATTTTGTTGGCCCGCAGCACTTTATTCTCTCTTCTTTTTTTCGTGTGCGATCAACTCTCATGTGACTGCTAAAAACTTGTCAGACGATAGAACAAGAGGAATGTAAATATTTTGGACCGCTTCGCGCTACACAAATTTTCATTTTATGCCCACATTTTTTAAAGTTATTATACCATGATATGAAACAGCTGTACCATTATTTGATCCGTCACTTCTGGGAACGGCTTCTCGCATCGTCGAGTCATATACAATTTATTTATTTATTTATTTATACCAACACTGTACATTTGCAGCAGAACTTCTTGATCAATCACAGCTAACAAATGTCCTCGAATCTCTGTGGTTGTCCGTCTCAGGAACCGGTTCTCACATTTTATTCGGATGTGTTTGCAACCCACCAACTGCGTCAACTGCGCGTGTTACCATCATCACTTCAGGTTTCGAGTTTACTGCTGAGACGCCACACAGACAGAAGATAATTGCTGTTGATTTTAAGCTACCAAAGATTAACTGGTCCTCTCAACGATCCTCGTCTACACATACAGCATTCCTTTCCTCTCTCAGAATTGGTGGCCGGATACAATGCATTACTGAAACAACAAGAGCGACCAGCATACTCGACCTCATATTCACTTTGGGGGTCACAAGTGCACAAACAGAGGTATTAGACAAACTCTCTGGTAGTGACCACAAGATGGTACCATTCACTTTCTGCGTCAAATTGACCACCAAACACGCTTTTATTCCGCAATATATATCCCACAGGATAAACGGGAAGCAATTTCAACAATTTATTCAACCATCCGATTGGATGGTTGTGCAATGCCGTGGACTATTTCTACCATCGGGTTCATCAAACCATTGCCGTCCTTACTCCCTAAGACGAGAGGATCACACATGCTTAAAAAGAAGCAATCGTGCGTTCAGTCAGCCAGAAACACAGAAGACTAATTGCTAGCTATAGAAACAGGGGAAGTTTCACCTTGCTTTTACAGTTGCACAACATCCTTGACAGGGTCAAACACATACCGTTGATGAAGAGGATAAACGAAGAAAAAATGGCTCTACGAACGACATGTAACACGAAGGAACTTGTTAAGATTCTGCATCTCAGAACTAATATCCGCTCCCTCTTGATCGGTGGACTGGTTAGTGCAGACGGACAGTCCCTTCATGATCCAGCCGACATCTGCGAAGCGTTTAGCTCATCTTCCGCTACCTCCATGAGGCTGGAGGAGACCCGTTAAATGCAAGCATTAAGTTGTAAACAGCCAACGCCCAGTGTAACATTGAATTTTCTCTTATTGCTATTCAAGATTTAATGAATTCTACTAAACCGTCTTCCCATCTGGATTCCGATGGTATCCCACCTGCCGTCATAAAACTGGGAGGGCCTGACATACCGTTACTATTGCTGAATTTGTTTATCCTTTCGTTGGAATCAAGATACTTTCCAGATCAGTGGAAAACATGGCTCATCATCGTCCGTCACAAGGGTGGCTCCAACTAATAAATTAATAATTACCGGCCAATCCATCACACTCCTGTAGTAGCCAGAATATTAGAGAAACTGGTTAAGAATGGTGTGATGAAATTCATCAATTCGCCGGGGCTAATAGACAGGTCACAACATGGTTTCACGGACAAACGATTGTGCATAACCTGCCAATTACATTATCTAAACCATGTTTCGGATTCTATGGACTAGGATATGCAGTCATACTTCTGTTCCTGGACATCGAAAAGGCATTCGATCGTGTGCCCCATAAACGGCTGCTGAAAAAATGCAGGATCAAATCCTAGGATGGCTATTGTCATACCTGAGCGGCCGTTCTCAGGTAGTTAACGTAGCAAAACACCACCCTTCACCACGTCCAATCACTAGTGGTGTTATTCAAGGGAGTGTACTTGGTCCGTTATTGTTCTTGCTCTACGTCAATGACATCAGTTCAGTTATCAGTCATGGCATGCCTTTTCTATTTGCAGATAACATGAAGATAGTCCACAAATTCCGACGAGCTGAACTTCAAGATACACTACTGATCATACAGGAAGACCCCCACTCCCTTGAGAAATGGTGTGACACCTGGGTGTTGAAGCTTTTGGCGAAAAGATCTAGCATCATTTATAGCGGCTGTTCGATACCCGAAGGATCAATTACACTTAGCGGTGAACACGTTTGCGCACAGCTGTCTACCCGCGACCTCGGAATCAGGTATTCCTGCACCTTCAACTTTTCTGAATAAGTGGAATACCAGCTGGCTAAGACCAGAAAATCCATAGCTAATATATTACCTAAGATCCACATAACCCAAGCCAGAGAAGAACTCCACAAAATTCTCACTTGCCCTGTTTGGGAATACTGCAGTATCATTTGTGGTAGCACGAGGAAATCTGATAGAGTATCTCTGGGAAGCATACAAAGGTCCTTTATTAAACGTCTGCTAGGCAAAACACCCATCCGGAGCGTTGCCAACAATTCCAGCTCTATCCGTTTTGGTTACAAAGATGGGGACATAACTTGACGCTTCTGTACAACATGATTCATCGAAACGCCCACTGCTATTTGCCTTCGCTAGAACTACAATATACTTCGACAAGGGAGCTACGCACTAATGAGTTTAAGCTGACTGTACCCAGGTGCATGGTAAATCTGTGATCTAAATTTTTCCTTATCAGATATGCTATTCTGTGGAATAAGCTCTCAGTCAAAATCAGATGGTGTGAGAGCGCAACGCCGTCGCAACGAGACTGGACCTTAACGTGGTGCGACGGTTTGCGTACCTCATTGACCCATTGAGCTATACTGGGTTATGCCTCCGAGCATCTTGAGAGCTACTCCTACCAGGTTGGTCAATGGTGAGAGATCAGACAAACTCAGTCTCCTGGTCCTCCAGGTTGGGGGTTTGAAATGGGATGGCTTCCATTTCTGTACAACTAAAGCACTGCCACCCCGCTGCCTTGCGGATAGGCTTTTGAGCCAAAGGCTTTGGATAAGGACCCTAATCGTTCTCCTGTCTAGGTCTGGGCGCCCTGGCAGTATCCCAGCCCACATACAACCATGACATTTTCTTCAAACATAAACATCATCCTGCATCGGCCGTCGCGCAGATTATCAAGGGTCGCCTTATCTGCTGCATACAGCAGGGCGGATAAGCGAAAGCATGCTACTGCTGGCGCCTCCCTTCTTTCTTTTCCACATTTTTCTCTTACTCCCATCCCGGCCCCTATTACTAACCTTCCTTCTATAATTCCCAGCTTAATTGACAGCAACCGAAGTGCTACTGGAGTAGTACCATCTGCAGCCACCATCCCACAGCACCTATCGGACGCCTATCGGCAAAAGTCCCTTATAAGGCCACGCTGTCCCGTTTCCATAGCGACATTCAACGTCCGCACTCTAAGACAAACAGGTCAGCAGGCTGCACTCGCACGCACCTTGGACACACTGGGTGTTGATGTGTGTTGTGTGTCCGAAACTAGGATTAATGACCCTAGCGGGGTTATTGAATTGACTGCACCCGGCTTATCCTCTCGGTATTGGTTGCACGCATCCGGAGACGCCGATGCGGCACTCACGGGTCAAGCTGGTGTAGGTATCATTCTCAGCTCCAAGGCTGAGTCATCGTTGGTTGATTGGATTCCGGTGAACAGCCGTTTATGTGCAGCCCGTTTGACGACATCAGCTAAGGTGAATTCGCGAAGTAAAACAAAACGCTGTTTGTTTGTGATTTTTGCTTATGCTCCCACCGACTGCAGTTCTAATGCAGTCAAGGACACTTGCTATCACGAACTGAACACGCTACTACGCAGTGCTACTAGTGCAGATACTATAGTACTTGCAGGGGATATGAACGCACAAGTAGGGCGTCTGAGCTCTTCAGAAGCTCAGCTGGGTGGTAAGTATGCACTTAACGCCGAACGGACTGACAACGGCGAGTGTCTGCTGCAACTGTGTGCGGAGCACCAATTGTTTCTTACTAGCACTGCTTTTAGACACAGTGGGCGCCGAAGTGCCACTTGGCGTCCACCTGTAGCTGGCCAGCGATGGACCCAAATTGACCACATAGCCATAAGTTACAGGTGGCGCGGTTCCATTCTGGATTGCCGCTCGTACTGGAGTACCTGTGTCGACTCTGACCATGCCTTGGTGCGCTGTCGTTTCTCCATGAACTTTACCGGAAGGCGCACAAAGCGTCTCCCCCGATTGGCAACGGAGAAATTGTCCCAGCCATCTGTCAGGCAAGCCTATCAAGAAGGACTGCATAGCGAGCTCTCGCTGTCTTGTCCTAATGACACTGAACTTCAGTGGAATAGGATCTCGGCCACTATGCACGACGCAGTAGCATCTGTTCGTGGCACTATCAGTCGTCATCGCACCAGTCACTGGATATCCGAGAGGTCCGTGAACCTTTTGGAAGCTAGAAGGCAGCTCCCGGCTGGTTCTGAACACAGGGTGACCAGACGGGCTATTAGGCGTAAATTAAAGCGGAGCCTACGTGCTGACAAGGAAGCCTGGTGGACCAGTCGGGCTCAAGAAATGGAGGAGGCAGGAGCAGTAGGCAATTACCGGAAGCTCTTCCAGCTAATACGTACCACTGGTCCGAGAAAACCAGGCGTCAGTGAGACAATCAGGGACAGCCCGGGTGCGCTGATACACAATAAGGAGCGCCGTATGGCTCGTTGGGCTGAGCACTTTGAACATCAGTTCAGCTGGCCCCCTGCTCCCGGACCTCTTCCTACTCAGGTGATGCAGGACGAGCCATGGACGGTTAGTTTAGAGCCTCCGTCGGAGGCCGAGGTCCGAAACGCGCTCACAGCCCCCAATCGTTTTCGTGCCGCTGGCCCGGATTGCCTACCACCTGCACTATTTAAGGATGGAGGTGAGGTCCTCTGCAAAGCACTGACCTCCCTATTCGAACATATTTGGAACGGAGAGAGTGTGCCGGCTAATTGGAGCCAATCGATTACAGTGGCAATATACAAGAAGGGCAGTCGCACAGACTGTGCGAACCACAGGGGTATTAGCCTACCGCCAGTTGTGACAACATTACTGGCCT